GAACCAGGACTGGGCCAAGCCGACGGCGACAGGCGTGTGCGCTCAGAGTCCCTGGTCCCGTCCCTCTGCCTCTGCATGTGTTCACAGTTGTTCGTAACGGGGCGTGCCCAGCGCCCCTGCCGGTCTAAGAGCCCCGCTGCTGCCCGCACCCGCTGCCAGGCTCCTCCTTGGGAAGCGGCCCCCAGCTGGGAGGAGGCCCAGGCCTGCACCTGGACCCCCAGATGCCCGAGGTGGTCACTGCGGGGTGGCCGGCTGGCTATGTGCACGTGACTCTCACCCAGACCCGCCGTGCGTGGACGCTCCGTGAGCCTGCCAGGGCCCTTTGGCCACAGAGAACACCTGTTGTGAGAAAACTGTGGAAAGGGCCAGCCCAGCCCAGAGTTGCTCAGGAGCCACCTTTGCTAAAGGCTTATGGAAGCCCCTCTTCCTCTGAGCCCTCCCCCACCCTGCTGAGTCCCTTCTGGAGGGGCCGGGGCCGAGCTGGTGGGGAGAGGGGCCCTGGAGACAGGGCCGCCCACTCCTTCCCCCGACAGCTGGGCCAGGCCCTGGGCCTCTGCTGACCCTCGCTGGGGGTGGCCCAGAGGACCCGAAGGCACTCTCCTACACAGCATCTGACGGTCACCAGGAAACACGCACAGGCCTCTGTCCGCAGATCCTGGGTCTTGTGCCCCAGCGGCTGCCCCCGGGCACAACAGCACACACATTTTTAAAAGCTGCAGCAGGAATCTAATGGAAGAGGACTTGTATTTTCAGAAACTGTGTTGGCCTTTTACCCCAAATTGAGATGATAACACACCCTAACCCCACTCGAAGTGTGCTGCGTCAGTATCTCTCCAACTAGCTTGCCTCTTCCCGGACCACGTCACTGCGATACAGTAACGTGCCGCGTAGCGTCCTAACCACCGTGCGTGCAGTTCCGCCGTCCGTGCTGCAGGGCGGCCTGTTTTCAACACAGATGCAGACAGTGATGGGAGGGAGCAAAGTGGCTTCTCCGTAAAGAAGAAAAACATACTTTTGATACATGCTAATAGAAAAGTGCTGACTCAAGACACTTTTAAATATCAGTATTCATGATGAAATTCTACACATTTCTTTGCATAGAAACTACAAAATCATGCTTTTCTCAAAAGGCTGATACCTTTCTGAACGATGACTTCAAAGGATGTATGTCTGAAAACGGCCAGGCTTAACTGGGAGCAAGGCGAATGCACTTTGAGAAGGACACGTTATGTCACTGGCCGAGGGGCAGATAGGAGCTTGCCAGCACCCGACGCCGCCACCGCACCGGCGACAAGGCAGCGGGCCGGTCCCCAGAGCCTGAGAGCCACATAACCGGCCCCTCACAGCCTCAGGGTGCACCAGGAGAAACAAATATGAGTCCTTCAGTAACGTGCGGGGCGATAACCACAGCATGTATCATTAAGTCATCTGCTAAAACTTTTCATTACCTCTATGGCTTAACTTTGAAATAAACAAAAAAATTAGGTGAGAAACAATGGGAGAATAACTTATCTCCAGTAACAAGATTTCTTTAGGAAAAGATCAAAGTTAAAAACGGATGCAGTGTTTCTATGGAAACGCCAATAAAAGTCTTATTTCTCAAGTGTGAAACATGAACGGTGTGTGAGGGGCAGGGAGGGGCTGCTAGGGAAACCCTGAGAGCCTGGGCCGCATCAGAGCCCCCACTTCCGTCACGACTGGGGGTTCCGATGCTGGGCACCGCGTGAACAGCTGGCTGCCTGGAGGGTTATTTGGTTCTCTTTTGTGTGACAGCCTCATCCTCATCTTCATATTCTTTCTAAACAAGGGAGTTAAGTGACATGGCATCGTATTATCATTCCATTAGGAATAACTACTTGCAACATTTTCTGTGACGCACCAGCAGACACAAATCAGCCGAAAGACGAAGGTGCTTGGATACGTGAATCCCTGGTTCCAATGGAGGCAAGAGGGAAGGCGGCATGGGGAACAGGGGTGCCTTGCTTTGAGCTGAGGGTGCTGCCTGTGCCCAAATAAAAGCGGGGTCTTTTCCAGGGGCGGGGAAGGCCCAGCCCACGCTGCAGACCACGGACACCGGCTCTTCTCGGTGCCGTTGATGCCACACCCCACCCCGTCACGCGGTCACCGGTGAGGCGAGCAGCGCAGCACAGTGGCGGTCTGTCACACGCCTGCACCGATGCCCCCGAACGCAGCCTGGGCCCAACCCCGACGTGGCTCTGAACCCCGTGTGCCAGGCGGAGAGTCTGAGCCGGCGACAGTGCACTCACTGGCTTCGATGGAAGCGCCCGATGCACGCTTTCCCCTCAACGCTGAAAACAACGCTCTGGACGCTGGCGTGACGCCAGTCTCCAGTGCCCTTTCTGGGCAAACGCTCCCCGACGACAACCTCCGGTCCTTGCGAGGCAGGCCCGACGCGTCACAGCTGGGCTGGCGGCTGCGCAGTGTGGGGCACGCCCGCACCGTTCCTGGCCGTTACACACGGAGGCCTTGCCTCTGACCACTCGCTCGGCCCACTTCACTGGCCCCCGTGCCCAACAGACTCAGTGCCATTCGGTCCCCATGCCGTGATGCCACTGCCAGGTACCAGGGCCACCTGTCTGTACCCCTGCCTGCCGCTCTGACCTGGGCACCCTTCCCTGGGCCGGACCGGTCGTACTGGATTGACCCGTGGGAGTCTCCAGTTTCCGAGCCTGCGCTGAGCCAGGGGACAGCCAGGGGCTTTCCAGCACAACCCTGTGGGGACACTCAGCGCTCTATTTAAAGATCATTGCAGACTCTGCGTTAAAGCTGAGCTGCTGGCCACACTGAACGAGACGTGTGGCGCTCAGGGCTCCGGCTTACCCACACAGCTCGGTGTCTACACTGCAAAAGGCAGGCTGGCTCTCCTGACGAGTCAGACCGGGCTGCCACACAGAGGCCCCATGCACGGTCCAAAATGCCACTGCCGACAGCTCTTCCCTGACGCCCCTGTGCGTGTGTCTGCGCCTCACACAGCTGACATGGCCTAAGTGCATCTTTCTTAATTTAGTGACACGTCCTCGCTGGTTCCCGCGGGGGCACATTCCTTCCTGCCGTCTGCACCCCGGCACTGCTGGGCCGCTGCCACGCTGATGGTGCCATGGACAAAAAACCCTTTCCTGCGGAGTTATGCTTCTTCACTCGTTAAACTGGCATCGGGACAAGTCTTGGGAACAAACTTGTTACTTGCAATATGGTCAGCTACTCGTGTTTAATCTGGAACAGCAACGTACATGAGAAACATCATCAAACACAGAGCGCCACTCCAGGGGCTGAAGTACACCAGAGCCGGACGCACAAAGACCAGAAGCGAGCATACGCCCCCTGGCCAGGCTGCTCGGTTGGCTGCAGCACTGCCCCACCGGCCCAGACACACGGCCTCTCCAAAGCACAGGAGGAGCCGTCATGCCCTCAGGCAGCACCAGCTGTAGAAGCTGCAGTGTGTCAAACTGACAGAGCGGGGGTGGGGGAGTGGGTGGATGGGGAATCTACCACGGCGCTCCCCGTGCGGGACTGAGCTCAGCCACTGCCCCGTGACAATCGAGGCCGGCTTCTCAGGCAGGCCTTGCCGCGGCAGGTGCGGCCGTGCGGACCCCAACCCGCCCACACCCGGTTCTCAGCCACAGAGGCAGAGCAGGACCTGCATCCGACTGGCCTCAGGACAAGTTCTCTCCCAGGGGCTTTTCAAAGTGCGGGGTGAAAACAGGCTTCCCATCCAGCAGTGAATGGGAACAAGTCTTTCAAAGCTCAGTAAGAACAGGATCAAAACTCCCATATTCTTTATTGCAAACCTTCAGAAAAAATGGTAGGAAATACAACAGTTTTTCTTCATAACACCTTAAATTTTGATGATTTATTCACCTATGTGCCTGTGAGTCACATTTCGAAAGCTATTCATGCAAACATACGCCCTCTGGCCAGGTCGCTCGGTTGGCTGCAGCACTGCCCCACCGGCCCAGACATGCGACCTCTCCAAAGCACAGGAGGAGACGTCATTAGATTTCCAAGCACCTGGGAGGACAGGCCGGTAAAGGTGCTCGTCTGCACTTGCTGGGAAGTCAAAAGAGTAGATACACGTGTTCTGTCCTCTTGAACTAAGATCCTGCCTTCTCAGGTATGAAACAGATTTACCAGGCTGAAGGCGTCTAATGAAAAGTGTCTGGTCACGAATTCTTGTGCTAGGGCGATTCTATTTTAAGCCTGGAGAAATCATAATGAAGACCTTTGAAGTGCAAGACTCCAGGCGGCTTTTGCTGAGAAAGGCACTCTTGGATCGGAAGAGTGCGGGCCCACGCTGGTCAAGGGTGAAGTGCACCCTGAGCCGAGAGGATGAATGTTTACATGTGTGGGCAATTATCCACTGCTCACTGAACAAATCAGAGGAAAAAGGAACAAAGCCACCACCAAGAACCTAGAAGCTCACGCAGCCACGGTGGAGAATCCCACCGAGACGGCAACATCCGTCCTGTGTGAACCCCTCCAATGAGCCACCAGGTAAACGGGGACCTGGAAAGCCTGTGTCTCCCTGCCCAGAAGGACAGAGAGGCGAAGCTGGCTCCCTCTCCCTGGAGGGTGCTCCCCGCTCAGATCCGGACTGTTCAGGAAAGCTTACAGTGACCCAACACAGGATTCTGGGCCCTGGCCGAGGAACTTGGGTGCTGAGAGCATTGTCCCTACACTCCAAGGTTACAGGTTCGATCGCCGGTCAGGGCACATACACGAGAATCAACCAATGGATGCTTACTCTAACTACTCTGAGGAGGAACATCAAATCGATGTTTTTCTCTCTCTCCCTCCCTTACTCCCTCTCGCTGAAATCAATCAATAAATTTTTAAAAATTGAAAAAAGAATAAGACCAAGGATTTCCAATGACCTGGTTTTTTCCAACAGCTAAAGCGACCATTCACACAGACGCACAGCCCCTGCAGCAGCGGCAGTGCCGACGAGGAAGCACGCGGTCACGGCCGCATTGTTTACTCACCCGCCCAGCAGGACCTGGGGCTGGCTGGATCCATTCGTGACACCAAACACATCAGGAATCAAATCGCCATTGAAGCTGGAAAGAAAACACCGAGCCGCTGTTTTACTGAACTAACTGGAAGACCCGCGGGGGTGTCGGGCATTCCCACGCTCACCAGTGCCTGCTGCGGTCCGTGGAGGTCAGTGGAAGGGACGTGTCACTTCCAGGCACAGGGTGCGAGTTTTGTGCCTGGACCCTCCAGCCCCTCCCCCACGTGTCCCACAGCCCAGCCGCACAGAGGGCGAGGCTGCTGACAGCCCGAGTCTCCGCGTGACGGCCCCCAGCAGGGCCCACGTGCAGGGTGAGCAAGAAAGGACCTTTGGTCCCGGCACGCGGGCGTTGTCTCTGACCTCTGCCCGATCTGGCCGCCCGAGTGGCAAGGCAGCGGCGCTTACTTCGGAACCATGGCCCGTCTCGTGCAGTTCGATGGACTCAGGAAAACCACCCAGGAAGTGATGCTGGGGGAACAGTCCCACCAGCAGCAATGCAAGAATGTACACAGGGAAAGGAGTCCAGCCGAGTACAATCAGGAGGAACCCACGAATCCTCAGACTTCCAATGGCTAGGGACCTACTGCTACTGTGACTGCCATTTCAAAAAGGACAAAAGGACAAGAATGTGGCCCCAAAGGATCTCTACCCTGTTACCCCAGATCCTGAGATCTGTATTAATTTTATGCTGGTATGAGTCTATCTGGAGGCAATAAATGATCACATTGAGAAAGAGCTGTAAAAAAGGACAAAAGTTTCTCCTCAACACAGAAATCTGTGCAAATCCTTTGATATGTGTCATTTAAGCCCTAACCACTTTACCCCCAGACACTCTTAATTCTTTGATTCACGACATGGGTCAAATCAACGCCGATCCCTGGCAGACGCATTCACAGTGACCGACACGCAAACGAAACACAATCCCCTCTTCTTCCTAAAACACTGAGTTTCGTTTTTCTCTTTCCTCTGACGTGGAAAACAAACACCATGTAATCAGAGCACAGGCCCCACCGGCTTCAGAGAGTGAATTCAGTGCCGATTCTACGCTACAAAGTAGTTTTTACATGAAAAGCTGTCCTTTCTGTTCACCGGTTTAAATGACCCGAAGGCAGGCAGCAGGTACTCACTCCATAATTAGAGGTTCATCCTGGAAAGTCCTGCTGAGGATGGTCCTGTTGCGGGGGTCTGGGAAGAGAGCACACACAGATTACAGGCCTTTGTGCTACTTCTGCTATCTGCCCGCAGGGAAAATATTCTTGCATTTTCCTCCAGAGTCATCTCCAACTGTCTCCCTCTACCACCACTAATGAGACCGTATCGATCTAACTCAAATGGACGCCAGGTTTGTGGAGACCGAACCCTGGGCGGATCGGCTCCCCAGTGACGACCGGCATCCAGCAACTTCCACGGGGGGCTTCGCCCTGGAAACCTCTCAGTGAGTCTTTTTTACATGAAATTTAGCAGGTGACAGGTAAGGTTTCCTGGTGGAGGAGACAACTTGGTACACGGAACTCGAAAACGTCCGTGTTCACAGACGAGCTGTGCTTTCCACGCGGCCTTAGACCCTCCCCGAGGGAATGAATCTGGAGTATCACGATACCTGTCTGTATTCCCCAATGTTACAGAAAATGCAACTGCATCCTCCGCGCCCGGCCTTGAAATCCGACTCCAGGGACAAGGCTGTGGACTCGGGTGTGAGGACTGGCTTGTGGGGTCAGACGTGACCCTGGGCTCCGCTCCTCGGTGCCTTCCCACACAGTGGTTCCCAGACAGCCTTGTGGGAAACACGGTGAGTTTTGGAAGGCAGGGGTGCGGGGAATCGGTGGTCTGTCTGCATCTTCTCAGCGTCTGACCGCTGAACCGGAGTCTTGGGCGGGCGCAAGGCACAGCGTGCTGGGCACGTGGCCTTCCGACAGCTGTCGTGCACATGGCCACGTCCTGACAGTGAGAAGGCAGTAGCTTCCGGAAGGCCGGGATTATTCCAGAAAGTTCAACCTAGAGTCTGTTCTTCTGTAAGCCACGGAAACCCTTTAGCGAACCTCTCTCTTCCTTACGCTTGCCAGACTGAATTTTGTTTTCTGGAACTGACCGCAGACCAGCTCTCAGGCGATAATGGAAAATCAGAAAGCGGACTTCCAAAAAAGCTTTTACAGACAATCAGTGACACTTAAGAACCACATTTACTTTGTTTTAAACTGACTCAGAACAAAGTTTTTCTTACTTAACAGCAGGCATGTTTTTCCTTCAATATCCAGTGACAAACATCAAAAACTCCTCACACAAACTCACCTAACGTCTGATTTTGTCCCCAGAAGATAACAGCTCCTAATTCGCTGCTGGCATGATTTTTGGGCAGGTACGTCAGGAGGACGTCCATCTGCGAGTCTCCGTCATAGTCCCCGGGGACAACGCCTGTGATCAAGGCGCTGTGGTTCCTGGAGAAACGAGCGGGACACCAGTGAGGCCCGGAGGGAGAGGGGGCTGCCGAGCTCGTGCCGCCCCAGACGGCTTCCGGCGCAACGTTTACACAACCTCTCGGTGGTGACGGGCTCCACGCCCTTCTGGGTGGCCCATCGCCCGTCACGTGAGAGGCCTGTCTACAGACGAGTTCGGGGTGGACGCAACGCTGCCTTAAGAGACGAGACCAGTCTGCACTCTATCAAGAGAAACCTCGGTTTTCCGCTCAAGCACTGGCCAAGGTGGAGCCTCTACTGAGTGTCTCTGTGCAGGGCACCGAGGTATCTGGAAGGCGTTTCTAGCAAACAGAGGCTCCTAATGAACCACTACAGCAGCATTGTGTATCACTGTCATTTTATCAGGTAAAAGGTACTTTTAAAGTATTTAGTTTTGGATTTTAATGAGATACAGAGTAAAAACTAAAAACTCATTTTGCTTCTGAAAGCTATTCACGTTTCACAGTGAAAACTAAATTCCTTTTTACCGAAACTGTCAATACAGTATCCGCACACCCACACCTAATTTTACATTTTTAATTAAAAAACTCTACAATTATTTACATTGAACTTGAAAACTGAACATTCTGAAGTCTTGTCACGTTTCTGAGTGACCCGACCGAAAAAAAAAAAAAAAAAAGGCCTTAAATTCAATTTCTAGTTCTTTCTACTTAGAGCAAGTAGCAAGACATCAAGTTTCCAACTAGACTATGAGAAATTACTTCCTGAACATCGTCAGCGCCTACGTATGTATACGTACATATACAGCTTAAAGTGAAACCAAGGAAAATACTGAGAAGTGCTGCAGAAGCACAACCCAACAATGGCTTTACTGTGCCGCGTCGGCCTGGTCGGCCCCGGACACCACACCGAGTGCTCGGCCCTCACTACCAAACAGGAACGTCCCTCAGTGACCAGAGGACCCGGATGCGCAGAGCGATTAAGCAGCTTCCAGTGTTACATGAACAGCTGGGACTCAGACTCCGTGTGTCGGCCCCTGAAATGGCTCCTTATTACCACCAAGTGTTTTTGGCTGTGCCAGTGTCCTCCAGGAAGCCCGGCAAAACCGGAACCTCCCATGGAGAGCGCCTGGGCGTAAAGATGACGACGGATCAGCCACACGCGCGTCTATGCATCTCACTGTCTGACGTGTACACCTCTGCACGGGTGCGTGTTTGTGCGTGGGTGTGCAGTAACACACGCTGCATACACTCGCCAGTAACACCTGCCCTAAAGCCCTCACCATCTGGTGGCAAAGAGTGCCCCGAGACAGGCACGAGTGTGGGACGAAGGCTTAGCAGGAACGTCGACAAGGGTGCCAGGAAAGGATGGAGCAGACGAGGGTGCGAATGGCCTGAGTGGCAGCGAGGGCACCGTTGGCTGCAGCGTCCGGGGTAAAGGGCTGAGGAAGCGGCTCTTTGTCCGAATGCGCCCGAGGCTCAGACGGGGGAGTCCTTAGAAATAGTGGGAGGCCAGAGTCAGGCACCAGGCTGCAAGCAGGTTAACTCAAAGTCTGCACTGTGAATGACAGTCCCTTCCGCCTGTCCCCAAGGAAGACAAGAGCCCAGCAGTTTCTTTCCGGGAAGTTTCAGGAGTCAGAGATGTAAGGTATAGCCAAGGGTAAGGTTCTGGCTTCAAGCTAACGACAGGGAGGTGACGAAAAGGCTACAGAAGGAGCAGTTTGACACCTTGCCCCCCATTCCTGGAAGGACTGTCAGCCCAGAACACACCACAGGGTACGAGACAGTTAACGAATTAGCTTTCTAGCGCCTTACTCTTAACTATGAACACACACCAGGCCCTTTGAAGAAAGCTGGATGTTAAAGACAGCCAAAAACAGACAATAAGAAATTGAAGAAAACTGAGATAACAGAACAAAAGAAAACCTCAAAACTACCCTTTGAGACATAAAGGAAGTACGTCCACTTAAAAAAAAAACATATTAAAGACAGCATGGTAAGAGAAAAAACCAGTAAAAGAAAGGAAACTTATTGCAGATGGAGGAATATGACAGCTAACACAAACGATTCGATAGAAGGATTAAGATAACATTGAGAAAAAAAACCCTGGAAAGGAAAATAAAATAAAATGACAAAAACGCAGTTAAAATAAAGGAGTAACGGAGGACCCACGCAGTCTAGTAACCAACTGACAGGCATTCCTTAAGGAGGAAACAAAAAGTTACCAAAGAAATAATGTCAGAACATTTCAGAAAGCCCCCAAGGACAGAGACCTCCACTTGAAGGGGCCTGTAGCTCATAATGCCCAGTGCGATCAGTGACACATGACCTGCACCGAGACACACCGCCATGGAATCGCAAAGCAAAGGGGTAACAAAGAGACCCTAGTAGCTGCTAAAATTTAAAACAAATCACGTTTGAAGGATTCGGAGAAAGAAAGACACTGAGTATTGAAGGAGCAGCCAGTGGGACTGGAAGAGAAGAGGCCAGGGAAGCATCACGGGTGGGCAGAGAAGGCCTGGGAGTGAAGGGCCTGCCGAGCCTCCTTTCCCAGGCACCTCCCCGGGATGCGCTCCCTGGTGGAAGCGAAGATGCCAAGAGCAACAGGGCCCAGGATCCAGGGAACCGGGACCCGGCAAAGACCAGCGCAGGGGTGGCCCCACGGTGTGACTCTGCAGAAGGCCTAGAGCTGGACCTGTGGGGGCACAGGCACGCAGAGGACGCGTTGGGGACACAAGGTGCAAGGAGGGCCTGGGGCAGCATAAGGGGCCATCTGCAGAGAAAATGAGGACGTGAAAACTGTGCTTTATTTTGTCAAGAGCCACCGTCGCTCCGGGAGGGGAGACCGTAGGGAATGGGAATCCTGCGCTGCCTGGCTCTGCGGCAGAGTCTCCTGGTCCAACCTTGAGCGATAATTACAAACCCAGCTGGGAACGTGCGGCAGCACCACGGAGATGACAGAGATCAGTTACAGCGACAAATCCTTATCCACACCCACAAAAACCCCAACAGATGAAGACGGGAACCCAATCACAGTGAAAGAACGTGTTTTAATCTATGGACGTAAACGCCAGAAGAAACAGCTCAACGTTTTAAAAGTGTTTGCATCTGGGGGAGGAAAAGGGTGAAGAATACTTACTTTTATTTTTAAAAATACTCTAAGTAAATGAAAATAAAAACAAGAGTTTCAAAATTTTCAAAAGACAGTAAGTCCTCACTTGACATCACTGGTAGGTTCTGTGACTCGAAGGGAAACAACATATGAAACTGATTTTCCCACAGGCCGGTCGAGAATTAAGTCCCGACGGCATTTCATCGACGTTACAAAGAACAGAACACAACAGCCCTGTTCAGGCACCTGACACACATAACACAACACCACACTAAAAAATATTAGTTGGGATTTAAAAAAAGAACTTAGTGGAATGCAAGTCCTTTATGTCCCGTAAATTTCTTTAACTTTCAATCGTCCAAGAATAATCATTTCTTGTATATAAGAAAATTTCTTGCACACGAGGCAGTTCATTTCTCGTGTATAAAATCCACCAATTTCTGCCCCCTCCCCACTGCCAGCATGCTGATGTCCGGGACCCAGAACAGTTCTCCGGGGTAAGTTCCTGTTTATTCACCCACCACTTCCCCCTCAAAGTTCTACTCAAAGTTCTAACTCAAGGCCACTTCTTACTACACGTTCACAATGAAATGCTGTAAAGTCTGAGCACTCATTAGCCCTTTTGGGGACTGACTTTTTTTTTTTACTAGAGAGAAAGGAAAGAAAAAAGACGGGAAGAGAAACATTGATTGGCTGGCCCTGCATATGCCACAGCTGGGGACCGAATCCACAACCCAGGTGCCTGCCGTGACTGGGAATCGAAACAGCACCCTTTTGCTTTGCAGGCTGATGCCCAACCAACCGAGCCACACTGGTGAGAGGTGGAAAATATTTTAAAAGTGCTTCCTAAGTCATCTTTTATCTTTCCATGGACCCGTTCCTCCTGCATGTGGTTACTAAGCACATCAACTTAAAACTCTGCTTTCGTCATCTCTCCTTTCAGCAAGAACCTGTAACGACTGCTCACATCTGGGGGGGGCTGAGTCCAATCTCATGCTGATATCGATGGAGGGGCCTCATTCGCCCCGATGGCGCCTCCCTGTCCCCAGCTCCCCAGGGTGCGCCCGAGGCTTCCATCAGGCAAACCCTCCCAGCTCCTCTTCACCCCACGCTGTTTTTCCTGCTGCCCCTTGATCGGCTGAGTCCCCAGCTGCCAAGTCCTCACCTGAGGTTTACTTAGGGTCAAGCTGAAGTCCCCCAGCTTTCTAGAAGCGGCCCCTGTGGCCTGCACTGACTCATGGCCTCTGCCCAGAACCAGCCAGCAACCAACCCTTGCTCTTGCAGCCTCAAGAGTATGTGGGCTCACGATTGGTGGTGGTCACTGGGTTTTACACGATTCAGTCATAGAAGAGAAGAACTGTTACTTGGACATTTAAAAAATTTATCCTGATTTGAATGTGTTCAAAATCAACCTTAAAAACTTACCACCTACCAGTCAACAGACAAAGGAAAAATAAGAAGAGAGGGACTGGCCTTTTCCTTGCCCCCATGGAAAGCCCCCCGCCCCAACACAGCTGACCTGGTGAGCCTGTGAGTGAGCTGCACACCCAGGCTGAGGGGCAGGCAGCCCGCCACACACTCAGGAAAGCCCACTGGGCTGCAAGGGAATGGTGAGTGACAGCAGGGGCTGACCCAGGCCCATTCACTGCGTGCACTTATAGAGAAAGTCGAGTGTAAACTTGGACACAGTCAGCACTGTTCCAGACCAATGACGTCCCACACACCCCTCCGTGTCAACACCGCAGGTGGGTAAAACCGATGTCACAGACTAGCTATTGCACATCTCTTATCGCACTAATGAGTGTTTCACAGAAACAAATACATGTGTACTTACTTCAAGGACACCTTCACTTTGGGTTTAAAATAGGGTGCATTCTGGTCTGCCAAAAAGACGATCAAATCATTTCCTAGAAGAAGCAGATATAGGATATTAGAATAAGGTTCCTTGGTAGGACATCTGACTAGTGTTTCCAAAAACTTTCCGGGTACCGTTCTCAACAAGAAAACTTTATTTGACTCCAGTTCACCTGCCCTCTCGAGATCAGCCCTACGTGTCTGACAGAATGGAGATTCCCAGCACCGAGTCACAATCCAGTGGTGTTCACAGGTACCTGGTCAAGACAACCTGAGCCGATTAACGGCCTCTGCCCCAAGTCAGAGCGGTTGACTTAAAAGAACCATAAAAAGGGCCTGCCTTGTAACTCTGTGTCAAGCCTCGTCTTCCCCAAACCCAACAATGAAGACCCTGGTTAAGGGGCATGAAGGATGCAGAATCTCGGACAGTAGGCATCTAACTAATAAGAACACGATTACGTATTTAGACATAAAAAGCTGAATCATGCAACACCCTCTTGTGACTCCTGTAGAACCTTCCCCTGGGTTGATGCATTCTTGGAACTCAGTGAGCATTCAGGAGAGCAGAAGTTTAGAACTGTTCAGGTACACACGAGCCACCCCTAACTTTAAAAGCCTCTGCATCCATTTTGGATGGAGTAGCTACAGGTTGGGGAGTATGCACCCTTTTCCCAACACATGGAGTCCTACAAAGACGGAAAATATCCAGGGGCCACAAGGGGCTCTGGGGCCCTGGCCAGGGCCGGAAGAAGTCTGGGCCAGGATCCTGTCAGGGAGGCTCTGCACTTCACTCCTTTCTTTGTAGCCTTGACCTTAAACAGTACCTGGCTCTGCAGGTTCTCAAGAATGACAAGACCCTCTAATGCCATTTGCTAGCATCAAAATAAACAAAACAAAACAGAACATTGTTTTGGGATGGGTAAAGCCAGGAACTCCCAAGAACCTCAAGTTGGCAAAGAAAGCAGAGACAGGGAAAACTAGGGTAGCGACCAAAGGAGGGCAAGGAAGGAGTCCAGGCAACTGAGAAGGGGGGCGGGTCGGCAGGTGGAGAACCCTTTCCCAAGGAGTTTATCCGCAGTCGGGGTTCCTACGAAACGCGCGTGCCAGATGCGGAGAGTCTGGGGCGCTGGGAGGGCACAGGAGCTCCCGGGAAAGCTGGGACCCTGACAACGGGGAGGGGCGACGAATGAGGTCCAGGTGGAGGCCGGGAGAAGGCCTCGGAGCCCAGACGATCGAGGCGCGTCGTTTGCAGCCCACGAAAGGGGACGAACAGGTGGGGTGGGGGTGGGGGTGGGGGAGAAAGGAAGGAATGCGAGGGCCTCCGGGGAACCAGGAAGTGCTCTGGGAGGCGGGCGATTCCACGGGGAGGACACGGAACAAGAGGGAAAGCCGCGGGCTTCTCAGGAAGAAAACTAGGGTGTTTCCAGGGCTTTGGGGCGGGGTGGCCGGGCCGGGACTGGGAGTGGGGGGTGGGGTGGAGAGGACGGAGGGACGGGCCAGCTGTCAAGGATGCTGGAGGGAAAGGGCGAGAGAGCCAGGGCTGGGAGAGAGGGCCGGGCGACCGCGGGGGCCCGCGAGGCACACGGGGACACGGGGGAGGGAGGAAGGGCCGCAAACACTGACTTTCCCGCAGCACGAAGAGGTCCGTCTGCTTGTCCGAGTTGAGGTCTCCGAAGGCCGCCAAGGTGCCCCAGGCCTCGGCCCCGAAGAGCTCGGCCGTGACGTTGTGCAGCGCCCGAGCCGGGGCCGGCCCGACTCCCAGCAGCGCGAGCCCCCCGAGCAGCGGCGCCCACAGCACCCAGGCGCCCGGCAGCCGGCCCGCCGCCGCCATGGCCGCCCCTCGGCCCCGCCCGCCGGCCCCGCGCCGCGCTTGACGGCAGCCGGAAAGCACCGCGCCGCCCCCGCCCGCCCGCCGCCCCGCGCCGCCCCGCCGCCCGCACGAGCCGCCGCCCGCCCCTCGCCCTCGCCGCACGGGCGACCCCTCCGACTGACGCGGCGGCGGCCGAGGGGCGAGCGGGGGCGCCCTCGCGCTCACTTCCGGCCGGCGCGTCTCGCGACAGTGTCGCGCGGGGGGGCGGGGCCGGCCGGGCGGCGTTGACCGGCGGCCCCGGGGGCGGTGGCTCAGGCGTCGGCCCCGGCGCGATGGCGGGGGTGGCGGGGCGAATGGCCGAAGTGAGCTGGACGGTCTTGGAGCGGAGAGCCCGGTCCAAGCGCTCAGGTTTGCCCAGCTGGGGCGCCCCTCCCCCCGAGCGCCCTGGGCGGGGGGCAGGTGGGGTCCAGGGGTGAACCCGTGCCCGCGTGTGTCCCCCTGGAGAGCAGTCTGCCGTCCGGCCTTCCGCCCGAGGTCTCCCCCCGCGCCCCAGGAGTGAGGGGATGGCCCCAGCGTTACTCCTCGTGGGCCCCCCCGTAAAGTAGTGGTGGCACCGACTTCTCCCGGAGGCTTCTTCCTTAGAAATCAGACCCCTGTCCCTGCCGACCAGAGGGTGTCCTTCTGTGTGTTCCCAAAAGTCAGATGGCTTCACTCTCGGGCAGGACTACGACCTGCTCGTTGCCTTGAATCAGGCCCCTTTTACATTCCTCTCAAATTCGGAGCCCCTGGGCAGTTTGTCTTTGGTCGCAGAATTGAAGGGGGACAGGGCTCAGGCCACGAAGGGGGTCACGTGGAGCGCAGCTAGGGTTCGAGCGGGTCCCTCCCTGGGCAAGTGGCCTCCGGGTGCCTAGTTTCCCGGGCGGGGCTCGAGCCCGAGGCCACCGCGGTCCCACGACGCCGCGCGGGCAGGCAGTCTTCAGTTCCAGTGTCCTGAGCTGGCTCCTCCAAACTGCAAAGTCACACTTGGAAGTTAGCACTTGTGGCTGACAAGTCCCTCTGAGAGCCAGGATGGAAACGACCCTGTCTCCGCTCTGGCTGCGAGGGATCCTGAGCTGAAAGCGAGCCTGTAAACAGGAACGCTGAGTCTGCAGAGTTTTCAGAGTCTGCAGCCGAGAGTCTTGGTTACTGTGTGTCGGGAGATACCAATGTCACTGTTGCCGCTCAGAGAACAGACGCCCAGCCCTAGGAACACTTAGCTCTGCGTTGGCATTGACGTTCAGAAAGAAAAATTACTTTCTCAGCTAATGGGATGTTTTGGGCTCTTCCCATTTAAGAAGGTCTTAGCCACCTGTTGCCCACTCTGCCTTTTTTTTTTTTTAATTTAAAGACATTATCTAATTTCATAAATCACAGAAGAAATGTACCTAATCTTTGTTGCTAATTTCATTCTGTTTTTAACCCTTAAAAAAGTTCTGCGCTTTTTAGGGTGATAACAAAACTCCCAAGAAAGTAGGAGATAAGTTCTCAAAAAGTCATCCTTAGTACATTTGAGTCAATACAGGTACTTGGGAAGCCACATATATTTTTGTTTCACACTTTTTCTTAAGACCATTTTTTCATATTGAAGTACTGTGTTAACCACTAATGGCATATGTGCCTGGGGTATAAAGAATTAATGGATTGAGAATATTTGATCACAGAGACCATCTAAATTTTTTTTACAGGAACTGAGTTCTGCTCTCAAATTGTTTCAAAAACATTTCTCTTTCACCTTAATAAGTACACAAGGTTTACTTTCTCTTCTAGTCTTTATTTTCTGTGAAATGCATGTCATAACAGTAAGCTTTGAAAACCTACCTCCCCTTTCTTAACAGAAAAAAACTCCAATTTTATTTAAATGTTGTTGAATGTATTCACTTAAATGCAGTTTCATGTGCGAAGTAGTTCAGCGCACTGTATAAATGTTGGATGTTCTCATACGTTTATAGCATCACCGTAAAAGAGATGCCATTTGAAGTCATTACTCCAAATTAGTTGAGGTTTCAGATTCTTCTAACTCTGCAGTATAAACTACAAAGTTTCCAGAGTAGGTCATTGACATCCTGTGTCATGAAAAACAATCAGTCTGATTCTCCTTACTTTTAGGAGACTAAACAGAGCTGTGTTGGAAACTCGGACTAATCCGATTCCAACAGAGATGCCACCGCAGAGTTCTGAGCATTGTTACATAGACATAGTAGCATAATCGCTTCACTGCTCAGTGGAAAAGGATACTCTTAGGTAACACTTGATAAGTGGATGTTTTGTATCTCTGCCTAATTTATGTAAGCAACTGTTACTTACCAAAGCAAAGCACATTTGCAAGTCATAGAAAGAAAATAAAATTATAATGAACCTTGATTATTGTCTTTGTTGCTCACTGCATCATGTTAACAACTGCTCACACTGCTTTCAATTAATCTAATGCTGATTGCTTCTAACCCCCACTAAACAGTCGGGATATCGCTGTAGTTTAGCCTGTGACGCTTATGATTAGAGCCAACACATTGAAATGGCCCGCTCTCCTGGTGCAGTCGCCTCCTCGCCGCCAGCTCTCTTAAGGTCTGGTAAGTGTGGAGACCCTCCCAAAGGGGTTCATTTTAAATACTTTTGTTTCTGAAGTTCGATGTCACCAAATGATAGCATTCTGCGTCTGTCCCTCTTTGGTGGGCCCCAGCCTGGACCCCACCGCTCTGCGTGATCTGTTTGGTGCAGGTGCGCACTATGGTGCCGAGTCTGGTCTGGTTGTTGGTGTGTGTGTGGACATGAGAGGTGACGGTTGAGCCGCAGTTGTCAAATGGGGACATGGAAAGCTTTGAAAGTTTGGTGGTTTTTGTCTTCTTGCACAGCGGGAATAGCTTTCATAAGTTAGGAATTTGTGGTCAGCGCCCCAGTTATTTACTCTTCACCAACTCCCTGTGAATAGGTATCTTTATACATTTTCATAGGCGGGGGAGGGAAGCTTGTCCCAGGTCTTGAGACACGTTTCGAAGCCTGCTTTCCCTGCTGTCCCATGGCTTTTTGATGTGAGGCTGTGGGAGACAGTGGCTCTTAGGCCGTCACACTGGTAAGACCCCTTGCAGACAGGGTGAGAGCCGTGGAATCGCCCCCCAGATGCGTGCCCAGGTTTCGAACACAGGGTGGAGGAGGCTCATGCGTACAGGGAGGACCATGTGTGGGTGGATCCCCATTTGGAGCCCAGGCCTTTGGATGCATCCGGCCATTCCAAGTGGCCACGGAGCAGAAACAAAAGCGGGGGTCCCCAGGGCTGTGGTCTGCAGGTTGTGAACTGCCTTGGTCTGTAACTGTTGGTGGGCAAACACACCGGGAGAAGCTGGTTGGCAAGACGCTGCTTAGCCCTCAGGCACCTTATGCAGAGTATTCAGGCCTCAGGCTGCACTCACAGGTCAATGTGAGGGGAGGTGAGCCAGCCGAAAAGTGACAGGAAACGCTTTCTCTTCAGTTTTATCAACACTGTTTATTTCCATTTATATTTTGAGTCCTGTTTTGGCAAGTTGGAGGAATCAGATCTCAAAGAAAAGAAATAGTGCAGGGAAGGATCATCAACAGGAGATAACGAAGCTTCTACTTTGAGGAATGGAAATGATCCTTGTCCTTAGTTGTCATCAGCTAAATGACAAAAGAGTGTGTGTAGCATCTCCAGTGTCTGGTTTCTGATTGAACCTTGGAGCTGAGAGAACAGCAGAGCATCTCTGGGGTGGTGCTTTCCTGCTGCAGGCAGCGGGTCTGGCCCCCTGCACGGGGGCGGGGCGGGTTTGCAGCACCAGCGGCCTCATTTGGCAGCACCAGCGGCCTCGTTTGGCCGTTATGGGGAAACCAAATGCTCAAGATACGCTTTCGTGCATCACTGTGCTGAGAGTTTCAACACCTCTGAACGGCGCTTTCACACCACACGGTGTTTGAAGGCGCCCACAGGAAGCCTTTCCAGCACCACGGCGTTAAATTCAAACAGAATGTGCCGAGAAACAAAACAGAAAAGTACCGGCCTTCACTGCTACAGGCCATTTTAAAGGCTGATTCTTATAAATGATTTGGGATAGTTATACTTTTTGGAGGTTCCTCTACCCACATCTTAGCAGCGACTCTAAGGAAATGCTGAAACCTTTTGTCTGTTAAAATGAATACGCAGAGGGGGTTGCACTTTGAGTTTATTTACTATTTTAGAAGGACTGCCTTTGTGATAGAAATGCTTGTTCTCCCCACTGTAGTTCCTGGGACATCATTGTCATAGGAGAATGTTTTATGGAGCCATTTCATTTAATGGTGATTTTAAAGCATGGGGCACAGCTGAGCATTCCCTGCTGCTTTTGGCCAACAACTATTTGACCAAAAACGAAAGCCATGTCTTGCTTTTGGAAAACTAGTTTTCCGTCCGCCCAGGTCGTGTTATGCGTTTGGTCCCCTTTGTTTCTCCCGAGTTCGTCCCTGCGATTGTGTCCGTCTCTGCTCTTTCTTGCATCAGCGTGCGTCCCGCGGGTCTGCGTGCGTGCGTGCGTGCATGCGTGCGGGAGCCTCGCTCTGACTGCCGGGTCGGCGTGCGCTGTGTGTGAGTGTGGCTCGTCTTGTTTTCACCGCTCACACCCAAAGGAAGCTCTGGGCGTCCAGGCCTCCCTCCCTCCCCTTTGTTTGTTCTTTCTTTTCGGACTGGTTCTCTTAAGTCTCGGGCACAGTTGGTGCACAATATTGCAGCGGTTCCAGGTGTGCAGGGCACTGATTAGACGCTTACGAAGTGACCCCCCGCGGGTCCAGTGCTCACTGGATGTCCAGGTTTTCCTTTAAGGAGCCTTGGAGTGAAATGGACAAGACAAGGAAGTTGCAGGCAAGTCCACAACCACAGTGAGTGGATTATTAGGGAAGGAGCGTGGCACCTAGCACGTCCGAGTGCTGTGATTCTCCTGCAGCCACGGTGGGCACCCGTGGCTCGTCGGCCTGGCGGAGCTGCTCAGCCGGAGCGGTCCGGTGCTGCAGGGACGGCGGCGCCCTGTGCCGAGGTGGGAGGCGTCTTGGCGTTCTCACGTCTGTCCTTAGATGATACTTTAACAACCAGTCTTTCTAGAGAAAAGAGGCACAGAGTTTCAGTCGCAGCGGTGTGTGTCCAGCAAAGAGAGAAGAGCGGATAATACCATAATGACTGTGCGCTGTGACAGACGGGGACGAGCCGTGGGGTGGCGAGCTCGTCGAGGCTGGCGAGGGTGCGGTCCCTGTGCTGCACCCCTGAGGCCAATGTGCTGGTGCATGTCGACTGTGCCCATTTAAACTGTATTTTAAAGAAGAAACTGTTTCCTTCAAAATTGAAAAGAAATTGCTCCTTCTTAGAACGAACGCTCAGCTTGTCTCTGTCTCGGCTGCCTGTTTCTCAACAGCTGAGTGAGTTTATCAGCTTGTGACTTGAGTTTTTTCTTTTACAGATTTCTTTTTAGGTTCTTTGAATAGTTCCTTTTTTTCCTTAAGTCAAGTCTCCTTCCATCACCACCTGTTCCCCCTTTGCCCTCTTCCACCTCCCAGCCCCTCTTCCCTCTGATACGACGGCCACACTGTTGTCAGTGTCTGTGAGCTGTTGGTTACCCCATCCCGTCCCCTTGTCCACCCAGGCCCCGCCCCTGCCCCCGCCCCCACAGCTGTCAGTCTGCCCTCTGCATCTGTGAGTCTCTTTCTATTTAGTTAGTTATTTTGCTCATTGGATTTCGCATATAAGTGAAATCATATTATACTTGTCCTTCTCTGACCAGCTTATTCACTCAGCACACTGCCCTCCAGGCCCACCCACGCCGTTCTCTTCTTTGTTGTGGCCGAGCAGTGCTCCACGTGTAAAGATGCCACAGCTTTTCCATCCCCTCGGCCACTGATGGGCACGGGGCCGTTTCCAGATCTTGGCGGTTGTAAATAATGCTGCAATGAACATGGGGTGTATTTTCTTTTATCAGTTTGATTTGACTGGAATATCAATACCTGGTAAAGCTTTTATGGTATATGCTGGACAAAGCTCAACTTTTCATTTTAACATATAACATCCTTTTCTCTTTAGACATGATACAGTAGCCCTATTTTTGGCCTAACTCGGCAGTCAATGAATCACAAATTCTTGTGGCATAAAGAGACGGTGGGCCTGAGGCTCTCGGGCTTTTTCCTCTAAGAGCCCAAAAAAGTGTGCGGTTTGTGTTCAGCTAAGCACGAAACTCAGCCTGCCTCTGCTCACTGCCTGTCTGAACTTGCGCGGTCTTCTGGACTTGGTTTCCTTGTCTGTGAAGACATCCCAAAGGGGTTATTGCGACGGTTAAGTGAAACGTTGCATGCAAAACACAGAATGTGTGGAAGTCGGCCCGTACGTTGTCAACACGCTCTTCCCTTCCCCGAAACCCTGTGTCTCGTGCAGCGCTGCTTACGTGTGTTTGGAGGCAGGACTTACACCGACCCCAGCGCGGTGGCTTCTCTCTCTCTCTCCCCCTTTGTGGTTCCTACTCTCTGTGCAGCTGTTTGATTCAGAAAAACTGGTCATGCCAAGGTCCAGGGAGCGTGAGTCAGGTGACTCAGAATGGAGCTTTTACTGTCCTGAAAATGTATTTTGCTTTTGTCGATAATCACTGGAAGTCTAAATAAATGGTGGTAGTTTCCGTGGACACTCCTGTCGGACCGCAGGAGGGCAGCCATCACTTCGTACGTGGGCAGGTGATATTTTTGTCCTATATTGGAAGCACCGGATCTCTCCGAGTTGGGTGGCATTTTCAGAAGCACTGGCAGAGTGTGTCCTGCTGGGCACTCTGGTCTCTTCTTCCCGGGGCCTGCCCTGCGATCTTGAGAGAGTTAGGAAAGAGAAGCCACAATGGGGTGGTTTCACTCCCTGGGCATGAATCCCATTGACCTTGAACCTCAGGCTCTCCTGTGCCCTTGTCCTCAGCAACGATGACGCTTTTCAGATTGTGTTGGCAACATGGTTTCACGAAGATTCCAATGGCTTGTCTTGATGCTTTACATTGTTCCAGAATGTTCTCGCCGTGCACCCTAAGAGCTGTTTTTTCCCTTGTGTTTTCTTCATCTTCAGTCTCCTGTGAAGCCAGACAAAGGGCGAGCGGAGCCCCCTTTTGCGGCTCCTGACTCCCGGGTGCCTACTGAGCATGTGTGAGTGGGTCTGCTTGGCGTCTCCCGTGTGACCGGCCCAGACGGGGCTCTTACTTTTCACTCGCTATGACCGCAGCCCGCACCTCCCCAACCCGCTTAGTTCAGCTACACTGGTACTCTTGCAGCTGCTCAAGCTAAAAATAGAGAACTTACTCTTCCCTCTCCCTTTTTATTCAGTTCAGATCCTTTTTACTTCACCCTCAAAGCACGTACCAGAATCTGTTCACCTCCAGACGCCCCCCGCTAGTCTAAGCCACTTACCTCTCGGGTCCGAATTACTGAAATAGCCCCGATTTCTGTCTTTGTGTTCTTGCCTCTCTGAAATAGTTTTCCACCCATCATGATGAGAATCTTTCAGAAATGTCAGCCAGGTCACGCCACTTCCCTGTGCTGCTGCATTTCCTTCAGCACGAAAGTCACAGTCCCCCTC